AGCTTGCAAATATTTTTTTTTGGAGCAATAAACTTTAACATTTTTAATTTTTTTTACCTTTTACGATATTAATTCATTTCCCAGATTTTAACATATTTTTTTAATTCAATACATTAGTTAAAAACATGAATAAAATATAAAATAAAGGTAATCCGTTATAGCCACAACAAAATAAAAAGGCATAAACCTTCCAAAATCCCAAACTATTCCATGGTTCAGGAGTTAGAGTCTAGCAGAACGGATGTGTTGCTTAATCAACGGTCGAATGTATTCTCTGTAGCCGTCAGGGACCACGGAGTCATTGAGTGGATCCTTCAATGCTTCCTCAAACAGCTTTGGGTAAACATTACCATCATATCGGCCCAAAACAGAGCCAAGATAGTGGTCAGTGTAGTCGAATGCGTCCACTAGAGCAACTGCGTTTGGTCGGAGCTGAGAGTAGAGAGACCGAAGCTGGTGGTTGGCGAGTGAGGCTTGTTCGGGAGTGACAGAGTTCGTGCTAAGGAAATCGCCAAGGTGTTTGTGAAGAAGATGAAGTGCATAGATGTAGCATAGATTCTTTAGTTGTTTCTTCACTCCTTTCCCTTTAGTCTCTCCTTCTATTTTGGTTATAAACCTATGAATTTGAGTTAGTTTGATAATGATCTTGATCCTGATTAATTGTAATTTGGTGAAGAAGCTTATTTACTTACTTGGAAACAACAATCAACTGGCAATGAGCAATCGCAGCCTCAACAAGATTAGCCGAGAGTTCGGAAAAACCTTGTTCTTGATTCTCAAACTTGCTTAGACTTTTAGCACAAGAAACAACCATTCTTAAAGCCCTTGCTTCAAAAGCTTCCAACACCATTCCAGGGTTTAACCAATCCTCAGCTGAATACTCAACCAAGATAACCAGTTAACTTCAAGAAAACAAATCGAGAACAAATATTGTAAACTCGTGGAGACTCACCCTTTCGAACACTAGAACGGCATTGCAAAAGGTGTTGTGTTTTGCCCATATATGAAGTTGTCCCAGTAGGAGCCTTTCCAGAACCCAACTGTGAAACTGTCTTCATCAAAAATCTAGCAACCTGGAGATCGATTTTTCGAAAACATAACGACTTTTAAAGACTTAATAATTTCATGAATAATTGAAACTTTAACAAAAATCTGAAGAAAACTCAGGGCTAATATTAAAAGTGAAATCAATAAAAAAGGATGAGAAAAAAAAAAACATAAGAATACCTGTAATTGCAACACAACATTGTCTCCCTCGTATGTGCAAGCAGGAACATATACAGCAAACAACTCAGGAAGGCCACTACACCACAAGTAGCCATGTCCACCACATAACTTACGGCATTCTTCAATACCATCTTCAACAAACAAAAAAAATACACAATTTCTTTTAGCTGATTTTCAACATTTTTAAAAAAGATCAAGCTTTGAAAGCATACTGCGGTGATTGAGGTAGTCATAGACTTCAATCCTGCAGTACATGCATGAGCTTCAGGCAATGTTGCAAAATCACTAGCCTCGAGTCTTTGTGTTACATCAGTGTACAACCATTTCAACCACTCTCCTACAAACCGAAACGCATATGCGGATGCAAGCAGAGGAAACAACCTGTGTTGCTGAGTTTTATAATCAATCACCTGCCACATATATAACTGCATCAATAGGTGGTTTCCATGACCATGACCATGAGCATCCTCAATCATAAAACTAGTATAACATGATACTTTTTTTAGGAGTGATTATGATCTTTTTAGATTATGATCTTAATAACTTTGTCCCATAGTTATCTATAGTGGGATTTATATAGAGTACCTGTGTTTCAATGCCACCATTATGTGAGCCAAACTGTCTTCGAACTGCACTGTACCTTGTAGCTATGCTGACTGCCCGAGACAGCGCGTTGGAAGCACTTGACACAATAGACTGTCTCACAAACACCATAGTACCATACACCAATTGCCTTGGAACATCTGATGCTACATATTTTCCTTCTTTTGTAACTTTTGATAGTCTGGGACAAGAAAAATGCAGAACCATCAATATGTTTCTTTTAAGTATATAGTGAAATGCGTATTCACACAAGACCAAATGGGGAAAGAGAGAGGAAACCTCATAAGCATTTGATCTCTAGGAATACGGAACTGATCAAACATAAGAAAACCATTGTCCATTGAGTTATAAGCCCCGTTTCCAAATTTTGTTCCGATATCACCAACCGTTATACCCGGAAGAGGAGAATGATCATCCAAACTGCGCAGTTGCACGATAAATCCTGGAAAAAAAAAAACAAGAACATCTGAGAATCAGTACTGTCGAATAAAAAATGAAGAAACCCTCCAAGTGCTTACCATGGACACCATGGTCTTTGCCATTGGTTATAAGACGAGCATAAACCACAGCATGGGTAGAAACTTTCCCCAAACCACCAGGCCACCACTATTCCAAACAAAACAACATTAAGACACAACTGAAAACAACTATGTAAGATCAAACTAATCATAATTTCTCACTTTGGAAGATGTCTGAGTAGGACTATGGATGATAAACTGATCTTTCTGAGAATCGAAAGTGGCGGTTGTCTCAAGGCCTTGAACATTAGAGCCATGACTAAGCTCAGTTTGAGCATAACATCCAATAATCTGCATTGTATTCGCTAAAGACAACCACTTTTGTTGTTGTTCCTCTGTTCCTTGTCCCTCAATTGCAGGAACAAACATTCCCTATTCGACCACACACACAACCATTAAACATCAACAAATTTTTCTGAGTACCCAAGAAAAGAGAATTTTTTGATTTTACCCAATGCAAATCCAAGAAGCCTGGTTGATCCATAAAAAACTTCAATTTCAAAGCTTCTTCATCAGAGAGACGAAGCTCGTTGATCATCTTCCAAGCATGAGCAGTTTTTCTCAACGTGTTCTTGAACAACTCTTTCCTTCTCATCACAGCTCTATTGCTTTTCTCGAACACCTTTAACAATAAAAATGCAAACTTTAACACCGGAATTTTC